AAGCTAAACATAACTGTCAGTCTCCCTCGGACTGGTGCTCCGTGCAAGATCTCACCTTGTTGGGTCTCAATGATCCTAAGAAAGGTGAGGAATCAGCCCAGAACTACACAGGAGGAGCTGGTCAATGACCTGAAAAGAGCTGGGACCACCGTTTCCAAGGTTACTGTTGTAATACACTAAGACGTCATGGTTTGAAATCATGCACGACACGGAAGGTTCCCCTGCTTAAACCAGCACATGTCAAGGCCCGTCTTAAGTTTGCCAATGACCATTTGGATGATCCAGAGGAGTCATGGGAGAAACTTATGTGATCAGATGAGACCAAAATAGAACTTTTTGGTCATAATTCCACTAACCGTGTTTGGAGGAAGAAGAATGATGAGGACCATCCCAAGAACAGCATCCCTACTGTGAAGCACGGGGGCGGTCGCATCAGGCTTTGGGGTGTTTTTCTGCACATGGGACAGGGCCACTGTGCTGGATTAAAGAGAGGACGACCGGGGCCAAGTATTGCGAGATTTTGGGGAACAACCTCCTTCCCTCAGTTAGAGCATTCAAATCAAATCAAATCAAATCAAATTAAATCAAATCAAATTTATTTGTATCACACATTTAAAACAGCCAAAGCTTAACAAAGTGTTGAACAATGAAATAAAACATGCAATTGACAAAGCAAAGACAATAATATATATATATATATATATATATATATATATATATATATATATATATATATATATATATATATATATACATGTATAAAACAGCAAGGTGCCAAGGTGTTTCTTCTTAACTCTAGACAAATGCCAGGAGGAAAAGATGCGTTTTGAGCAAGGATTTAAAGTGCTCCAGTGTTTGTGCAGCTCTAATGTGCAATGGCAAAATGTTCCACAGTCATGGACCGACCACAGAGAAGCTCCTGTCTCCTCTGGTCCTCAGCCTGGTCCTCAGAGCGCAGACCTCTGTGTGGGACATGTGGCTGAAGGAGTTCAAATAAATAGGAAGGTGCCATTCCATTAAGACTCTTAAAAACAACCCAACACATGCTCCAGGTCCAGAACAGTCGATAGTCAAGGTCAGTTAAATCCAATCAATCAATGAACCTGTCCAGGGACGACAGGTGGAAATTAGCACTGATGCTACAACCTGATGTACAATGCATCTCTCCTGTCAAGGTTAATGCAAAAATTGTGCGCTGTCCCCGTCTCAAATAAATAAATAATAAATAAATAATAAAAATAAGAATCATTCAAATTTTAAAATGGATTCTAAAATGTATGGGGAGCCAGTGTAAGGATTTAAGAACAGGAGTGATGTGTCCCTCCGCTTCTTTCCAGTTAAAAGGAGCTGCTGCATTTTGGCCCCTGCAGGCGGCTGAGCTGGGGCCTGGTCAGTGCAGCAGACAGAGAGTTACAGTCGTCAAGCCGCGAGGTCACAAATGCACGAACGGCCTTTTCAAAAGTGCAGGCGTGGGGTGTTTGGTTTAATTTGACTTAAAATCCTTAACTGATAAAAACTTGATTTAAGATCGGAGCTTGTTTGCTTTTCAAATTGAGCATTGAAGATGGGTCGAGGCTGGGTCTTCCAACAGGACAATGACCCGAAGCACACGGCCAGGAGAACCAAGGAGTGGCTCTGTAAGAAGTAGGGATGGGCATGATTAGTCGATTAATCGATAATTGATCATTAAGAATTTCATCGATTACGTAAGTTTTAATCGACAAACTGAATGTAGGTTTCTGTGTGTATCGTGTCTGTACATGTGTCTCTGCATCAGAAGGAGCGAGACACAAACAGTCCACCTGCAACGTACTGAAGTGCAAATGTGGATTTAACCAGGATTTGTAGAAGAAATTCCACACTTTCCGTTGCGTTGGGACAAGTGTGAGTCCATGTGCACAGTGGATAAAGCAGCACATATGTTTCTGTGTCCAGTGGGAAAAAGTTTTTACCAGGTGAGAGTCGCTCAATGTGGATGACGAGGCCCCGCCCCCCTCCCCCCGTACGCTGTCCTGGTTTTGACAAACACAAATCTGGTCACACTGACCTGTATTCACCTGAGTCATGTCTTTTAATCCAACACAAGTTGAACCACATCAGCGACACAAGAGCTGGAGTTTTATCTTCACTTAGTTTATGTAAATTAGTGATGTGGTTTTAAGTTTTGTTTCTGTGAGATTTGAACAAAACTGAATTAAACACATTATAATGTCAAACAGCTGATGTGGCTCTAGAGTCGTTACGGTTTATTACCTCCACCAAGGAGGTTATGTTTTTGCCGGCGTTTGTCTGTTTGTTTGTTTGTTTGTTTGTTGTCTGTTTGTTTGTCTGTTTGTTTGTTTGTCTGTTTGTTTGTTTGTTTGTCTGTTTGTTTGTTTGTTTGTCTGTTTGTTTGTTTGTTTGTTTGTCTGTTTGTTTGTTTGTTTGTTTGTCTGTTAGCAACATAACTCAAAAAGTTATGGACCGATTTTGATGAAATTTTCAGGATTTGTTGGAAATGTGAAAAGGAAGAACTGATTTCATTTTGGGGCTGATCCGGAAGAAATCCTGGATTCTGGATCACTTTGAATTTTTAGTTCACATTGTGGTAAATGAGGCCAAACATTTTGTTTCTCAATATCTGGGTTAATTATTGACCAAACCCCATGAAATTTGACTCAGGGATGGACAATGGGATCCTCTTTCATATTCCAAATTGAAAGATACGAGACAAATATTTATGGAAAACACAATGAATATGAGGGGGACTGTAGTCCTTGGCGGACGTCTGCGCTCTCTGACTGCTTTTCTAGTTTTAATATAAAAACGTTAATGATTAATCGATAATCGATCGTTAATTCTCTCACCCAGCCAGTCTCCAGACCTAAACCCAATAGAAAATCTTTGGAGGAAGCTCAAACTCCGTGTTTCTCAGCGACAGTCCAGAAACCTGATTGATCTAGAGAAGATCTGTGTGGAGGAGAGGCCAAAACCCCCCCTGCAGTGTGTCCAAACCTCGTGAAAAACTACAGGAAACGTTTGACCTCTGCAACTGCAAACAAAGGCTCCTGTACCAAATATTAACACTGATTTTCTCAGGTGTTCAAATACTTATTTTCCTCAGTGAAACGTGACATGCACACATCCAGTTCCACACACTTTTGCGTCGCCGTCTGCAGCAGATTTCCTCCCGAAAACACTCGTCTAAACGCGGAATAAAAAGTGAAGACGCGACGCCACTTCTTGCGTCTTCTGTTCAGACCCTCGTCGTATAAACGTATAAATGCTGCATATTATGAAAACTGAAACTCACCGACCAAAACACACGACGACACAAACATACAAACGATCGGCTCCTTTTACATTCAGTTCAGCAGAAATCCACAACGACAGCGACGAAATGATCCAAACGATTCTGGTGAACGTGTGTGGAGTTTAAAAACACAGTGGAGCGTTTCCGGTATTATCACCACATGATGACATCACAACGTGGAACAGCCTAAGTGTGCGGAGTAAACCAGGTCTAAACCAGATCTAAACGAGGACTAGACCGGGACTAGACCGGGACTAGACCGGGACTGAACCAGGACTGAACCAGGACTGAACCAGGACTAAACCAGGTCTAAACCAGGACTGAACCAGGACTAAACCAGGTCTAAACCAGGTCTAAACCAGGTCTAAACCAGGTCTAAACCAGGATTAGGTCTAAACCAGGACTAAACCAGGACCGGGACTAAACCAGGAAACCGGGACGAGACCGGGACTGAACCAGGTCTAAACCAGGTCTAAACCAGGACTAGACCTGGACTAGACCGGGACTAGACCGGGACGAGACCAGGTCTAAACCAGGACTAAACCAGGATAAAAATGTCAAAATCAAACGTTTTAGGAGAAAAACCTCTCACTGTGTTTACCTGTGTCCCTTTTTTGGTTTTACTGTTTCCCTTTGACCCTTTTGTGTCGTCCTCCCTCTGTCCAAAGGTTTGTCCTCCTCCCTCCTGTCTCCTTCTCTTCTCCTCACCTCTCTCTGTCTCTCTCTCTGTCTCTCTCTGTCTCTCTCTCTGTGTGTCTCTGTGTGTCTCTGTGTCTCTGTGTCTCTCTGTGTCTCTGTGTCTCTCTGTGTCTCTGTGTGTCTCTCTGTGTGTCTCTGTGTGTCTCTGTGTCTCTGTGTCTCTGTGTGTCTCTCTGTGTCTCTCTGTGTCTCTGTGTGTCTCTCTGTGTCTCTCTGTGTCTCTGTGTCTGTGTGTCTCTGTGTCTGTGTGTCTCTGTGTGTCTCTCTGTGTCTCTGTGTCTCTGTGTGTCTCTGTGTCTCTGTGTGTCTCTGTGTTCTCTGTGTGTCTCTGTGTCTCTGTGTCTCTGTGTGTCTCTGTGTGTCTCTGTGTGTCTCTGTGTGTCTCTGCTGTGTCTCTGTGTCTCTCTGTGTCTCTGTGTGTCTCTGTGTGTCTCTGTGTCTCTGTGTGTCTCTGTGTCTCTCTGTGTCTCTGTGTCTCTGTGTCTCTGTGTCTCTCTGTGTCTCTGTGTCTCTCTGTGTCTCTGTGTCTCTATGTGTGTCTCTGTGTGTCTCTGTGTGTCTCTCTGTCTCTCTGTGTCTCTGTGTGTCTCTCTGTGTCTCTGTGTCTCTGTGTGTCTCTCTGTGTCTCTGTGTGTCTCTGTGTGTCTCTCTGTCTCTCTGTGTCTCTGTGTGTCTCTCTGTCTCTCTGTGTCTCTGTGTGTCTCTCTGTCTCTCTGTGTCTCTGTGTGTCTCTCTGTGTCTCTCTGTGTCTCTGTGTGTCTCTCTGTCTCTCTGTGTGTCTCTGTGTGTCTCTCTGTGTCTCTGTGTGTCTCTCTGTGTCTCTGTGTGTCTCTCTGTCTCTCTGTGTCTCTGTGTGTCTCTCTGTGTCTCTGTGTGTCTCTCTGTGTCTCTCTGTGTCTCTCTGTGTGTCTCTGTGTGTCTCTCTGTGTCTCTGTGTCTCTGTGTCTCTGTGTGTCTCTCTGTGTCTCTGTGTCTCTCTGTGTCTCTGTGTCTCTGTGTCTGTGTCTCTGTGTGTCTCTGTGTGTCTCTGTGTCTCTCTGTGTCTCTGTGTCTCTCTGTGTCTCTGTGTCTCTGTGTCTCTGTGTCTCTCTGTGTCTCTGTGTCTCTCTGTGTGTCTCTCTGTGTGTCTCTGTGTCTCTGTGTGTCTCTGTGTGTCTCTCTGTCTCTCTGTGTCTCTGTGTGTCTCTCTGTGTCTCTGTGTCTCTGTGTGTCTCTCTGTGTCTCTCTGTGTGTCTCTGTGTGTCTCTCTGTGTCTCTGTGTCTCTGTGTCTCTGTCTCTCTGTGTCTCTGTGTGTCTCTGTGTGTCTCTGTGTGTCTGTCTCTCTGTCTCTCTGTGTCTCTCTGTCTCTCTGTCTCTCTCTGTGTCTCTGTGTGTCTCTCTCTGTCTCTCTGTGTCTCTGTGTGTCTCTGTGTGTCTCTCTGTGTCTCTGTGTGTCTCTGTGTGTCTCTCTGTCTCTCTGTGTCTCTCTGTGTCTCTGTGTCTCTCTGTGTCTCTGTGTCTCTGTGTGTCTCTGTGTGTCTCTGTGTGTCTCTGTGTCTCTCTGTGTCTCTGTGTGTCTCTGTGTCTCTCTGTGTCTCTGTGTGTCTCTCTGTGTGTCTCTGTGTGTCTCTGTGTGTCTCTGTGTGTCTCTGTGTCTCTCTGTGTGTCTCTGTCTCTCTGTGTCTCTGTGTGTCTCTGTGTCTCTGTGTGTGTCTCTGTGTGTCTCTCTGTGTGTCTCTGTCTCTCTGTGTCTCTGTGTCTCTCTGTGTCTCTCTGTGTCTCTGTGTCTCTGTGTCTCTGTGTCTCTGTGTGTCTCTGTGTCTCTGTGTGTCTCTGTGTCTCTGTGTGTCTCTCTACGTGTCCCTCCGTCCCTTCGTCCCTTCGTCTTCCTCACGCGTCTCAGAATTTCAAAATAAAAACTGGGACGTCCTCGGTTTCCTGGTGTTTTTTATAGCAGCTGAAATGGTTTGATTTTGGATATTGGAGTTTCGACACATTCAAAGACATTTAACTTGTGGTGTTTATCACTGATTCTTTTCAAACAACTTGTGACGTCTTCATAATCACCCAGGATTTATATCACGAGACAGTAATTATAAAAAAAACATTGACCATTGTTGATTTTTCATTCCTTACCAGAGGGAACCAACAATTCTGCACAACCACGTCTGTAACGCTCAAGTTAAACCAGAGTTGGATTCACAAATTATATATATATATATATATATATATATATATATATATATATATATATATATATATATATATATATATATATATATATATATATATATTCTGTCTTGTGAACTTGTTACATGTGTCACAAGTTCAAATGTCTCTGAATGTGTCAAATCTCCAGTATCAAACCCATTCAACCACAGTGTGGTTTGGTGGTTTGTAATAATAAAACTGAATCGACTGTGTAATGAAGAGAAACTGTTCTGTATTCGGCCTGTTGACGAACAGTCCAGTACAGTCACAGTTTCTTTGTGTTTTGGTCATTTTTAAGCAGCTTTTCAGTTTTTTTTAACGTAAACTAATGACAATCTACACATCTTTTTACTGTTTTTAGGCATCAAACTGGTCCAAAATAGAGACACATGGGACATTTTTTGTGTAAAACTACGACTTTTTTTTACACAAGTGTGTAATTAAGTAAAAATTTTTCTGCACTTGGTCCATTCATGACATTTTCTTTGTGTTTTGGTCGTTTTTAAGCATCTTTTCTGGATTTTTCTGCACACCTGGGACATTTCTTGTATAAAACTACAATTTTGTTTTTTGTTTTTTTGGTGCTTGGTAATAATAAAACTGAAACGTTTTTGTAATTAAGTAAAAATTGTTCTGCACTTGGTCCATTCATGACTAACGTCAGTCAGTATGGTCACATTTCCTTCATTTTTAAGCAGCTTTTCTGTTTTTTTATGTAAACTAATCACAATTTATACCTCCTTTTACTGTTTTTAGGCATCAAATCGGTTCCAAAATAGAGACATTTCTTGTGTAAAACTACAACTTTTTTAAAAATGTTTTTGTAATAGAATAAAAATTGTTCTGCACTTGGTCCATTCATGAGTAACAGTTCAGTATAGTCACATTTTCTTTATGTTTTGGTCATTTTTAAGCAGCTTTTCTGGATTCTTCCGCACACCTGGGACATTTCTTGTGTAAAACTACGATTAAAAAAAAAAAAAAAAAAAGAGTGCATAATTAAGTAAAAATTGTTCTGCACTCGGTCCATTCATGACTATCAATGCAGCATAGTCACATTTTTAAGCATCTTTTCTGTTTATTTACGTAAACTAATCACAATTTATGCCTCGTTTTACTGATTTTACGCATCAAATTGGTCCAAAATAGAGACACATGGGACATTTTTTGTATGACACTGGGACAAATCAGTGGTTTTGGATGAATCCGCAGGGACGGGGGGGGGGGGGACACGGGACTCAAACCCGGGACTGTCCCTCGTGGACGTGGACGTGTGGACACCCTGAACTTCATCGTTCCTCGTGTCCTCCGTGTCTCCTTCATGTCCCACCCATCCGGGCCGCCCCCACCTCACCTCCCACCTCCCCCCGCGTCTCGTGTCCCCCCCCACCCCCCCGCGTGGGCCTACCTCGCGTCCTACCTCGTGTCCTCGTGTCCTTGTCTCCTAGAGGACGCAGCTGTGTTCCCGGACAGGTCCCGGTTCCGTTGGTTCATATCCCGTTTGGCTCTCGCTGTTTACGCACCGCGGCTCTTTACGCACGCGCATCACGAGCACGCGGACATGTCTCGGGGACCCGGGGGTGGGGGACCAGACCTGGACCCGTTCGGACGTGTCCTGTCCTGGCGCAGGTCGGTTTGGGGCTCGGGTCTGGCGCGGGTCTGGCTCCGGGTTTGGACGCGGTTTGTTTGTGTGGGCCCCGGGATGAGTCAGCGGCGGCAGGAGATGCAGGGCGCATGCGCAATGAGAGCTGCGCGCGCGTCACCGGGACGGGGGGGGGGGGGGGACACATGAGACAAGTGGGGTCTCTTGATGGGTCTTTTATGGGATCCGAATCTTTTGGAGAGCTGCTCAAAAATGGCTCTTTTCATTTTAATTTTTATGTCAGAACTCGTTTTTTTTTTTTTTTTTTTTCTACAAACTAATCACAAAGAAATAAAGCTCAAACAACTATCCAAAACCACTGATTTGTCCCTGTTTTGTACAAAAAATGTCCCAATTTTCAACCAATCTGTTGCTTATCACCAGTAAAAAGAGGTATAAACTGGAATTTATTTACGTAAAATACAGAAAAGCTGCTTAAAAACGACAAAAACACAAAGAAAATGTGACTATACTGAGTCACATTAGTGCCCAGTTCATAACAATTTTCCTGAATTATGCACATTTTATGGTAAAAAGTGGTCATTTTATTTTTACCAACCACCAAAAAACGAGGATGTCTCAGTTTTATTTTGAAAATCTGGTCACTCTAAATTCAGACTAAAAGTGAAAATGTGTTTAAAATGATCCAGAATCTAAATAAAACTTCATCCATCCAGTTTCTTCCTCTTATACGGGGTCGAGTCTTGGGGGCATCAGTCTAAACAGGGACTCCCAGACTTCCTTCACCCCAGACACTTCGTCCAGCTCCTCCAGTGGGATCCTGAGGTGTTCCCAGTCCAGAGACATCGTCCCTCCAGTGTGTCCTGGGTCTTTCCCTGGGGTCTCCTCCAGGTGGGACATGAACACCTCCTGAGGGAGACGCCCAGGAGACATCAGAACAGACGTCCTCCCCTCAGACGCTCCTCTCCACGTGGAGGAGCAGCGGCTCTACTCCGAGCTCCATCCGTCGGGAGTGCCCCAACACCCTGCGGAGGAAACTCATTTGTGTCGCTTGTATCGTCGATCTCGCCCTTTCGGTCATGACCAGAGGTGAGGGGAGGAACGGAGACTGACGATAAATCAAGACTCAGCTCCTCTTCACCACAACGGTCCGATACAGAGACCACATCACTGCAGACGCTGCACCTGTCCACCTGTCAGTCTCACGCTCCATCCTCCCCTCACTCCAGAACAAGACCCTGACAGACTTGAACTCCTCCACTTGAGGCAGAGACTCTCCACCCGCCCGGAGACGACAAGACGCCTTTTTCCGGTCAAGAACCACGACCTCGGACTGAGAGGAGCTGATCTTCATCCCAGACGCTTCACACTCGGGTCAAACCGCCCCAGAGCTGCAGGTCCTGGTCTGATGAAGCCAACAGGACGACATCATCTGAGAACAGCAGAGATGATCCTGTGGTCCCCAAACCGGACCCTCTGACCCCTGACTGTCCGTAAATACAGTGAGTCGGATAAACTGGCAAAGTCCAACATGCACCAGGAACAGGTCTGACTTACTGCAGAGACACAGCTCCTGCTCCGGTCGTACAGGGACCGGACCCCAGACTCCCAGAGCGCCCCCCACAGGACACCACGAGGGACACGTTCAAACGCCTTCTCCAGATCCACAAAACATTACAGTAATAAAAATGAAAACACTAACAGCTAATAATGATTCTAAATATGTTTTTTGTGCACAAAGCGTCACTCGTGTTTCCTGCGTCTGTGATGATTCTTGTTTTGGTTCAGAGTGTTTTACTGTAAAAATGCAAAAAAAAAAAAAAAAATAGAAAGAATAAGGTTTGGTTCTTTTAAAAATTTGATCTGATTCCAACCGTTCGCGTTGAGGAACCGTTCAGAGGAGCCGACTCGTTCACAGACGTCACCTGAGGAGGCTGGAGGAGACACACGACACCTGGAGTCATGTTAAAGGAGACGCACCGGAAGTGTCGCGATGTAGAGTTACAGAACGTCCGGTTAATGTTCTTCTGTGTCAAAATGTGTGTGTAAATGTCTCCTGGTTTAGTCCTGGTTTAGACCTGGTTTAGACCTGGTTTTGACCTGGTTAAGTCCTGTTGATGACGTCTCCAAATGTTTAAATGTGTGTGTAAATGTGTATCGTATTCTCCAGCAGTGCAATGTCCAAATAAGTAAGTGAATAAATAAAATAAAATAAAACTAAACTAAATAAAATAAAATAAAATAAAAACAAATAAAATTTTATTAAAACAAATAAAAACAAATAAAATAAAAACAAATAACATAAAATTAAAAACAAAAAATGTTTTTATAAAAACAAATAAAATTTAATAAAATAAAATAAAATAAAGTAAGTATGTAACTTTCAGGAGGTGGAAAGTCAACCGTATGATTTCATTGAAACAGAAAGTAAAAACCACATTTCAGGACATTCTACGAGTCAAGTTTGTGGAGATGCAAGCCAGCTCAGAGTAAGGACATGTGTTTTGTATGTTTTTCAGTGCAATAAACACACCCATAATTAAAAATAGGTACGTAAGTAATGCACTTTAAACATTATACACTGTCATACTTTAATTTACATTTTTGTTTTAAATAATTAAATAAAAAGTGGCCAAATTTACCTGACTTCATATGATTTAATTATTATGATTAAAAAAAAGAAATAAATTCAAATGAAATAAATTAATACAAATGAAATACATTCATAAAAATAAAATAAAAATATAAAAATTAGAAAAAATAAAAATAAAATGCATTAATAAAAATAAAATAAAAAATGTAAAAAATAATAAAAATAAAATACATGAATAAAAAAATTATAATAAAAGTAAAATGCATTAATAAAAAGGAAAACAAATATATAAAAATAATAAAAATAAAATACAATAAATAAAATAAATAAAAAAATAAATATATAAATAAAATACATTTGTAAAATTTAAAAAGAAGTATATAAAAATGATACAAATAAAATACATGAATAAAAATGAAATAAAAATATATAAAAATAATACAAATAAAAATAATAATGTTAATGTCTCTTAGGCTTGTGCTGTGTTAGTGTGAATGAAAAACAAATGTAGTTTATTTTCGTTGGTTCATTCGTGTGTTGGGTTTCACATGAACCACTGGAGCCATCGATTCTGTCTCACATTCAGCCTTTTACTGTTCCCGATTCTCAGCACTGCAGCCGCCGTGTGCTCCTGTGACAAACAAGAACAAATACATAACCTTCACCTCGTCTTCCTCCTCCTCCTCCTCCTCTTCATCACAGATGGAGCGGGGCACAGTCCAGGGACACACAGGAGACTTTTACAGGGTTCGTTTGCGTTCACAAGAGAATCACAATATTCTAGAAACACAAAACAGAAATCCAAATCTTCTGTTGTTTAAATCTGAACTTAAGTCGTTTTATTTTGTGTTTCTGTGTTGCTCCAACAAAAACAAATGACTATGTACTATAGACCTGTTTTATTCTTGGTTTAGTCCTGGTTTAGTCCTGGTTTAGACCTGGTTTATACCTGGTTTAGTCTTAGTTTAGTCCTGATTTTAGTCCTGGTTTAGTCTTAGTTTTAGTCCTGTTTTAGTCCTATGATAGTTCTATTTTAGTCCTGTTTTAGTTCTGGTTTTAGTCCTGGTTAAATCCTGATTTAAACCTGGTTTTAGTCCTGGTTTAGACCTGTTTCAGTCCTGGTTTAGTCTTGTTTTAGTCCTGTTTTAGTCCTGGTTTAGTCCTAATTTTTAGGCCTGCTTTAGTCTTGGTTTAGTCCTGTTTTAGTCCAGATTTTAGTCCTGGTTTAGGTCTTGTTTAGTCCTGTCTTAGTCCTGGTTTAGTCCTGGTTTTAGTCCTGGTTTAGAGCTGGTTTAGACCTGGTTTTAGTCTTGGATTAGGCCTGTTTTAGTCCTGGTTTAGACCTGGTTTTAGTCTTGGATTAGACCTGTTTTAGTCCTGGTTTAGACCTGGTTTTAGTCTTGGATTAGACCTGTTTTAGTCTTGGTTTAGACCTGGTTTACACCTGATGTTGTAATCTTCTCTGTCAGAATATTTTTTCCTCAATATTTGTGTTTTTATTCATATCAATGACATAAAACATAATAAAACATTATACAAATAAATTCTTTGTATTTTAAGTCTTTGTCTCAGGACTGTTGTGCTGCTGTGTTGTCGTCCGCCTCCAGAGGGCGCCACACACTGACGCCGCACTGACGCTCTTACGCGATGACGTAACTAGGCGGATGTAAACAAAAAACAAAACCCGCGAAGCTCATTCAGCAGAGTTTATACCCACGACCCGGCACCCAGCACCCAAAAACCAGCACCCAGCACCCATAAACCAGCACCCAGCACCCATAAAACCAGCACCCTGCCCGGTTCTGGCTCTGGCTCCATCCCGGTCCTGGTTCTGGTCCTGACTCGGGTCTGAAATGGTCCAGGAGTTCCACGTGCTGCGCTGTTTCTCCTGCGAAGTGTTCCAGGTCCAACAGGTCAGAGGAGATTCTCTTCTGTTCTGTTCTGTTCTTTTCTCTTTTGTTTAGACTGATCAGATTCTCTAAATTCTAAACTGGGACACACTCGGGTTTGGTTGTTTTGTATAAATAAAATAGTAAAAAGCGCGTGAAACATTGTGCATTCTCGCGTCATGATCTGAGAGATTCTGTTTCTGTTGCTGCATTTTTGATTTTTTAAACACGGATTTCTGTTTTGTTTTTGTTTTTTTGGCTAAACAAATTATAATTTATGCTCCTATGTACTGTTGGCGGGGATCAGATCAGTCAAACACTGTGATAGTCCTATTCAGTTTAGACTAGGCCTGTTTTAGTCCTGGTTTAGTCCCAATTTAGTCCTGGTTTAGTCCTGGATCAGTTCCGGTTTAAACCTGGTTTAGACCTGATGTCCTGGTTTCGTCTCAGTTTAGTGCTGGTTTAGGCTTAGTTTAGTCCTGTTTTAGTTCCGGTTTAGACCTGATATAGTCCTGATTTAGTCCTGGTTTAGACCTGATGTAGTCTTGGTTTAGTCTTAGTTTAGTCCTCTGTTAGTCCTGGATTAGTCCTGGTTCCTGGTTTAGTCCTGGTTCAGTTCTGGTTCAGTTCTGGTTTAGTCCTGGTTCAGTCCTGGTTTAGTCCTGGTTCCTTTTAGACCTGGTTTAGACCTGGTTTAGACCTGGTTTGGTTTAGTCCTGGTTCAGTCCTGGTTTAGACCTGGTTTAGACCTGGTTCAGTCCTGGTTCAGTTCTGGTTTAGTTTAGTCCTGGTTCAGTCCTGGTTTAGTCCTGGTTCAGTTCTGGTTTAGACCTGGTTCAGTCCTGGTTCAGTTCTGGTTTAGTCCTGGTTCAGTCCTGGTTTAGACCTGGTTCAGTCCTGGTTCAGTCCTGGTTCAGTCCTGGTTTAGTCCTGGTTCATTCCGTTATCAGTTTTTTCCATTATTCATTTAAAAACAAAATAATGAGACAAATAATGAAGAAAATTGTTGTTTTTTCGTTTTCTTATTTTTGGTTTTATTTTGAAAAACAAATGAACGAACGACACACGTATTGAGAGTATAAAGTTGAGTTGATTTTGTTGTTGATTTTGTTGTTTTTTTTTTTCTATGTTTATTTGACTTTATTACAGGTGAAGAAAGTGAACAAATGGAGCTGTAAAGTTTGCGGGCAGAAACAGTCTGTGCTGAAGGTGCGTGCTCACGTTTGATTAAAAAACATTTGATTTGTGACGAGTCCGAGGTAAAACCCGAAAGTGTTTTACAGGAGTTTGGCCGAGGCTCCGGCGCCGACTGCAGGCGTCATGTCCAGAAACTCAACGCCGCCCGAGGAGCCAAGCTGGAGGACGAGGCAGAGCGCCGAGCCCAGACGGACGCCCAGGCTCTGTGGTAAATGTTCACGGCTCAGTCTCGTTTCTCTTTCCTCGCTTCCTTCACCTCGATTCCAGTCAAATGTGTAATGTAATAAGTGTTGTAATAAGTGGTGTCCCAAAAGCTCAGAGGAGGCAAGGGAGGATTCAGGAGGATCCAGGAGTCTTCAGGAGGCTTCAGGAGGGTCCAGGAGGGTCCAGGAGGGTCCAGGAGGTCCAGGAGGGTCCAGGGTCAGGAGTTTTCAGGAGGGTCCAGAGGGTCCAGAGGGTCCAGGAGGGTTCAGGAGGGTCAGGGGGGTCAGGAGGGTTCAGGAGGATTCAGGTGTCCGGGAGGAGGGTTCAGGAGGTCAGGAGGTCCAGGAGGAATCAGGAGTGTCTGGGAGGGTTTAAGAGGGTTCAGGGGGGTCCAGGAGTGTCCAGGAGGGTTTAGAAGGGTCCAGGACAGTTTAAGAGGGTTCAGGGGGGTCCGGGAGGGTCTTGGACGCTTTAGGGCAGTCCAGGAGGGTCCAAGAGGTCCAGGAGTCCAGGAGGAGGAGGGTCAGGAGGGTCCAGGAGGGTCCAGGAGGGTCCAGGAGGGTCAGGAGGTTCAGGGGAGGTTCAGAGGGTTCAGGAGGAAGTCAGGGTCAGGGGTCTGGGAGGGTCCAGGAGGGTCCAGGAGGATTCAGTAGTGTCCGGAAGGGTTCAGGAGGGTCCAGAGGGTCCAGGGGATCCAGGGGAGTCCAGGAGTCCAGGAGGTCCAGGAGGGTCTAGGAGGGTTCAGGTTCAGGGGAGCCCAGGAGGTTCCAGGAGGGTCCAAGAGGATTTAGAAGGGTCCAGGACAGTTTAAGAGGGTTCAGGGAGGGTCTTGGAGGCTTTAGGGGCAGTCCAGGAGGGTCCAGGAGGATTCAGAGGGTTTAGGAGGGTTTCAAGAGGGTTCCAGGAGGGTCCAGGGAGGTTCAGGAGTTTCAGGAGTTCTTCAGGAGGGTCTAGGAGGCTTTAGGAGGGTCCAGGAGGGTCAGGAAGGTCCAGGAGGATCTACGAGCATTCAGGAGGGTCCAGAAGCTTTCTGGAGGATTCAGGAGGCAGATATCGGATAAAATAATCAAACTATTTCAGTATAAGTACAGAGAACGCAGCAAAGAATGTTACAGTACATAATGTTGACATGTTACATAATCTTAAATTAAAGATTAAAACTCATAAAAACACATGTTTCTGTCCTGAACATATCCTCACCTGTCCCACTTCTGTCTTGTCCAATGTTTTTTTTTGTTTTTTTTTAAGGAATGATGAGACGGAGCTTGACGAAGACGAGCAGCTTTCGCACAAACCGGTAACATTTGTCTCTGAGTTCACGTGATGTACTTTAATCACTCTGGGGCTGTTCTACATTTGTCTCTAATGTTGGAATGTTTAGAAGTTACCATGGAGACACAAAACACACATGAGCAAAAACTGTAAAAAAAAAAAAACTGTCTGCAAACTCAAGAAAAAATAGAAAAGTGATTTAAAGAGCAGAGTTTCAGGAGCTTCCGAGGGTTCATGGTCGTGTTTAGGAGTTAGATTTTACACAAAAAGGTGAAAAGGACTCACTGCTCTCAAATGTAGTGAAGGAAAAGTAAAAAAGACTAGTGTGCCCGGATTTTCAAAATAAAAAACTGGGACATCCTCGGTTTGTGGTGTTTGGTGATAATAAAATTGTGAAACTAAAATTATTCCGCACTGGGCACTAATATGAGTCAGTACAGTCACATTTTCTTTGTGTTTTGGTCGTTTTTAAGCAGATTTTCTGTACTTTACCAAAACAAATGACAGTTTATGTCTCTGTTTACTGTTGTTAAGCATCAGATTGGTCAAATATAGTGACACCTGTTTCATTTTTGTATAAAACTGAGACAAATCAGTGGTTTTGTATAAATCTGCAGGGACAGGAGACACAGGACTCAAATTTGGGACGTCTGTTCACTCTAAAAAGTATTAACTTTAAAAATGTACTTCAGTAAAGTACAGATATCTACAATGTGTACTTAACTACAGTACTTTACTACTTTTACTTTGTTACATTTCACTGACACTGACTCTTTACACACAGCTCGTCTGTTTTTACAAAACATATTCTGAGTTTTACACAGGGGCAGATTTACTCCAAAAAAAACTGAATCATATTTGAGAAAGTGAATTTTAGTGTTTTTCAGTGAGAGACACCAGCCTGTTTCTGACTCCAGATGTGTGTGTCTTGTGTTTGTGTGTGTGTCTTGTGTGTTTGTGTGTCTTGTGTGTGTGTGTGTCTTGTGTTTGTTTGTGTGTCTTTGTGTGTGTCTTGTGTGTGTCTTGTGTGTTGTGTGTGTGTCTTGTGTGTGTGTGTGTGTGTGTCTTGTGTGTGTGTGTGTGTCTTGTGTGTGTCTTGTGTTTTGTGTGTGCTTGTGTGTTTGTGTGTGTGTGTCTTGTGTGTGTGTGTGTCTGTCTTGTGTGTGTGTCTTGTCTGTGTGTTGTCTTGTGTATGTGTGTCTTATGTGTGTATGTCTTGTATGTGTGTGTATCTTGTGTGTGTGTGTGTGCTTGTGTGTGTGTGTGTGTCTGTGTGTTTGTGTGTGTGTGTGTGTGTGTTGTGTGTCTTGTGTGTGTGTGTGTGTGTCTTGTGTGTGTGTGTGTGTGTCTTGTGTTGTGTGTGTGTGTGTGTCTTGTGTTGTGTTTTATTGTGTGTGTGTGTGTTGTGTGTGTTTTGTGTTGTTGTTGTGTGTGTGTTGTGTTGTGTGTTGTGTGTTGTGTGTGTGTGTGTTGTGTGTGTTGTGTTGTTTGTGTTGTGTGTTGTGTGTTGTTTGTGTGTGTTGTTGTGTGTGTTGTGTGTGTTTGTGTGTGTGTGTGTTGTGTGTGTGTGTCTTGTGTGTGTGTCTGTGTGTGTTTGTGTGTTTGTGTGTTGTGTGTGTGTGTGTGTCTTGTGTGTGTGTGTGTGTGTGTTGTGTGTGTGTTTGTTTGTGTGTGTTTGTGTGTGTGTGTGTGTGTGTGTGTGTGTGTGTGTGTGTGTTTGTGTGTGTGTGTGTGTGTCTTGTGTGTGTGTGTGTGTGTTTGTGTGTGTGCAGGTGAGCCGCTGGGACAAGTACCTGTCTGCTCCACAGGAGGAGGCGGGGCTTACACAGGAGGGGGCGGAGCCAGATGAAGAGTGGGCGGAGTCAGAGGAGGGGGCTGTGGTGTTAGACAGAGACGTGCTTCACTCTAGCGCTCAGAGGTGAGACGTGACTCTTCACTCTCCTGTCGCAGGGACCTTCTGTGTGTGTCTCTGTGGAGGAGGGAATGCACCTGCTTGTTTCCATGGAGACGTTATCGCTTTTTCCTGAAATATTCCACAGTATGGAATTAAACCTCCATTAGAACTGTGCAAAAATATTGAAATATTGATATATCATATTGTTTAATTTGATGATACAGTATCGATATCGTGGGCTGCTGTATCGATATTGCACCAAAAGTATTATTTTGGTATATTTTTGGTCCTGGAGAGGGCAGGAGCATTCAGGAGGCTTCATGAAGATCCAAGACGGTTTAGGAGGCTTCAGGAGGGTCCAGGAGGGTCCAGGATGGGTCCAGGATTCAGGATCCAGGAGGCTTCAGGAGGGTCCAGGAGGGTCTAGGAGGATCCAGGAGGGTCTAGGAGCATCCAGGAGCATTCAGGAGGGTCCAGGAGGGTAGGAGGGTCCAGGAGGGTCAGGAGGGTTCAGGAGGGTCTACGAGGGTCTAGGAGGGTCCAGGAGGGTCTACTAAATTATTTTGTTACAGCTACAGTTTTGTTGTCACTTTTTTGAGGATTAAAATGTTTGTGTTTCATTTGAACTTTGCACAAGACGTGGTTTAACAAAGACTTTTAGTATCACAGCCAGGATATTTTTTTCAAATCGATTTGAAATGTATCATATTGAATCAAAAGCTGACCGTATCGAGATAAGTATCGTATCAGCAACTTCTTAATGATACCCAACCCTAATCTCCACCGAAACGAGCAAGTGACTCCACCAGGCCACGTTCCAGCTCAGATCTGTGGAGACGTCCAGCGGTGGATCTGCACTGTTACGGTCGCATTTAAATCCAAGTCCCATTTTCTGTTTCAGGACGAAGAGGAGAGCGCCACCCAGAGGTCAGCAGAGGAAGAGGAGGAGACCAGGTGAGCAGGTGGGTCTGTGGTCACCTGCTCCAAGTACTGCAGTCAGAGTAAAAGTAAAAGTACTGCTCACTGCACGGAGGAAAACTTGGCCAAAATGTAAGATATAAACACTTAAATCTACCAGAAGATCATTTTACTTGACAAGTTCCCTTAAACTAAATGGCCTCTAGACTAGAAATAAACTGGAAATAAGTTTATAGATGTTAAGTTTGAGATAAACAGACTCGAGTATCAAGCAAATCTGTATCACTGAATCTAAAAACGAGTGAAGTGTTGTAGTAAAAGGATTGTAGCTTCTTTTAAAAATGTATTGACTAAATTTAAGATTTTCAGACCAGTTGAGTCATGGAAGAAATATCTGACAGTTTTTAAGATTATACAACCAACTCAGAACCAGTAAGTAGAAAATAAATCTGAAAACAGCGTGAATAACCTGATTCAAGTTTTAAAATCTTGGTCAGATCAGAGACATTTGCAGTGAGGATAGTCGTAGTTTTACTAAATGGGCTCAAAGGGTCTAAAAACCCTGTAGAAAACACTCAGGCGGTGATAGACGACGTGCTCCACTGTGTTTTTAAACTCCACACACCTTCACTAGAATCATGTGGGTCATTTAAACCCTGGAACTGCATCACTTTAAATCACAGGTGTCAAACATGCGGCCCGGGGGCCAGATCCGGCCCTCCAAGACCTTTAATCTGGCCCCCGGCTGATTTTCTACTAAAATATTTAAATTCTATTTTTTATTAAAATCTTGTTAATTTTCTGTGGTGTTTATCACAGCAGCGTCTCCAGCGTCTCTGTACGTGGCCCCTCCCACCAGAGCAGCACAAATGAAGACTTGTCTCTTTCCAAACGCTCTTAAAGGACGATCGTTTTGACTGTTGACCGTGACACCCTCATCAGAAAAATGTCCAACATGAGAAAAGTGGAGCCGAGTGCAGGATTTTACAACAAAAAACTTATTCCTATTTACAAGTTACAAGTTCATGTTCAAACTTTGTGTTGAAATTGTATTTTTCTTAAAGTTTCAGGTTGTTCATAATATTATAATATTTTGTAAATGAAAGAGTTCATCAGTTAAAAAAGATTTCTGTAATAGATTTGTGTTTCTCTGCACAAATATTAGAACTTATTGTTATTTTTGGGGTTTATATGACATGAGTTTTCTGATCCGGCCCCTTTGGATCAAAGTCGGTTGGACATGACGCCCGGAACAAAATGAGTTTGACACTTCTGGACTAAATCTACAGTTATTGTTTTAAGCCTCAGTGTCACTTCTTCAAAAAAAAAAAAAAAAAAAAGACATATAAACCCCAAATATAACAATAAGTTCAAACACAAATAATAAGGAATAAGTCCAATTTTTCTTTGGCGTCCACTTTTCTCATGTTGGACATTTTTCTGATGAGGGTGTCACGGTCAACAGTCAAAACGATCGTCCTTTAAGAGCGTTTGGAAAGAGACAAGTCTTCATTTGTGCTGCTCTGGTGGGAGGGGCCACGTACAGGGACGGGCATTCGATGATCATTTTAATATAAAAACGTTAATGATTAATCGATAATCGATCGTTAATTCTTCCGACGATCGATTAAGAAAATTTCATCATTATTATTACTATCTGCACTAATCTGCATAAATAAATTCAACTTTACGACATATAAACATAACGACTCTAGATCCACATCAGCTGTTTGACATTATAATGTGTTTAATTCAGTTTTGTTCAAATCTCACAGAAACAAAACTTAAAACCACATCACTAATTTACATAAACTAAGTGAAGATAAAACTCCAGCTCTTGTGTCGCTGATGTGGTTCAACTTGTGTTGGATTAAAAGACATGACTCAGGTGAATACAGGTCAGTGTGACCAGATTTGTGTTTGTCAAAACCAGGACAGCGTACGGGGGGAGGGGGGCGGGGCCTCGTCATCCACATTGAGCGACTCTCACCTGGAAAAACTTTTTCCCACTGGACACAGAAACATATGTGCTGCTTTATACACTGTGCACATGGACTCACACTTGTCCCAACGCAACGGAAAGTGTGGAATTTCTTCTACAAGTCATCGTTAAATCCACATTTGTGCTTCGGTTCATTACAGACTGACCCACTGTTTGTGTCTCGCTCCTTCTGATGCAGAGACACATGTACACACCTGTTTGGTCACGACACACACAGAAACATACATTCGGTTTGTCGATTAAAATTAACATAATCGATGAAATTTCTTAATGATCAATTATCGATTAATTGATTAATCATGCCCATCCCTACCAAGTACAGAGACGCTGGAGACGCTGCTGTGATAAACACCACAGAAAATTAACAAGATTTTAATAGAAAATATAATTTAAATATTTTAGTAGAAAATCTGCCGAGGGCCAGATTAAAGGTCTTGGAGGGCCGGATCCAGCCCCCGGGCCGGATGTTTGACACCCGTGATGTAGATGGTCTGTGGCTCAGCTCAACAAAAGTTAAAACACAAAAATATTTTAAGATTTTGAATGTCGGAGATGTAGAACACAAAGTTACTCAAACAAAACACAACTCCAGGTTTTTGAGGAGATCACAACATTATAATTTGAGTTCATTTTTATGTAATTTGGGGTTTTTATTTGTTCTGTCTCTGTAGGATGAGTTTGGACCAGGCTACAACGCAAGTCCTCCCGGAGCTGTCCCCAGAACTGTCCCCAGAACTGTCCCTAAAACTGTCCCCAAAACTGTCCCCAAAACTGTCCCCATCTCCCCGTCCACTGCGCCCGCCCTCAGACCCATGTCCAAGTGGAGCACCTTCCTGGACTCTCCCTCGACCTCGGGCTCCAGGATCTCTGCGTCCTCCATGTTCCAGAGCGGAGGACGACGTGGACCTGGACTGGACCTGGATCTGGACTGGGTCTGAGCCCGAGCCCGAGCTGGACCGAAGACTTGAGCTGAGTGCAAAACGGAGATTTTACTAATAATTCTGCTGTGTGCCCTATAGATTTTCTTCAGCCTCTAGTGACACAAATACTTTCTATATTTATAACTTTCTTTCAGGTTGTTTGAGAGTCATTTATTGCCTTTTCTTAATGAGACAAGTTTTGATTTGACAAATAAAAAGGAATGATTTTACCTTTATTTAGTTAAATCAATGTTTATAGTGTCAGAAAAATGTCCTTGTTGTGCGTAAACTCACTTTAAGTAATTTAATGGATTACGTTACAAACTACATTTTGGTGTGTGTAATCTGTAGGGGATTACATTTTAAAAGTCACCTTCCCAACACTGGACGCCGTACAGAATCAGAAGTCGACAAATAAATGTTAAACATTCATCTCCGCCCCTCGGGTAAACAAGAAAACACTGCTGCAGACGTTTTAGCGGCTTCTCATTTTGGTGTTTTATTAAACAAAACTAAACAAAACAAATACAAAAACATTTCTCCGACAATCAGGAATGGAATGAAACCCACTTTTACGTGACTAGAGCGATTATAAATATGGCACGCCGATTTAACACAAACCAAATCTTTTCAGTGAAGTTGCCATTTACAAAAAAAAGAAGGAAAAAAGCTTTATCTTTGTTAAAGGAGATCACAGAGTCAGACCGAAGTGGTGCAATAAACCATTTACATTTTTTAAGTTTAAATTAATAAATACTTTTTAAGATGAGAGAGAAAAAAAAACAAAAAATTAAGCGTCGTCATTTATTTTCACATGAGTTTTCATAAATACATGCACATTCAGAACCGTTCGAGTTTTAAGGCTTCTGATGCGTTTTTTTTTTTTTTTTTTCTCAGCGCGGCGCCCCCTGCGGGAGAGATCGAGAACGACAGAACGGCGGGTGCGCGGGTTTCGTCGTGTTTTCGTTGGCGGTTATAGGTGGATGGGGTGGTAGTGTCCTTTGGGGAGCTTCTTCCTGCAGATGGGGCAGCTGTGGCTCTGGGTCAGAGAGTCTCGTAAACAAATACTGCAGAAGACGTGTCCGCACCGAGTCGAGACCAGGAGACGCCCGCTGTCCACGATCTGGGACACGCGGAAACACGACAGGATCAGAAACACAAGACTCTGGAGGTTGTAGTTTTGAAGTTATTTAAAAAAAAAAAAGTAAGTCTTCAGTCATGTTCAAAATTGTCAAGTAAAGTGGCTCCTGGATTTGTAGATTTGTAATGAACAATTTGAATGTAATATTTGTCATAATACTTACAAACAGCAAAAAAAAACAGTTACCCCAAGTGGACAGAGACAGAGACAGAGACAGGGAAAACTAACCTCAAAATAAGAGTCCATGCAGACGGGGCAGCTGATGTGGACTCCAGCCGACCTGCAGAGCACACGAGTTAGGACTGGGTTTAGAGAGATCTGAGCCGGTTCTTAAGAGGGTCTAAACTGGGTCTAAACTGGATCTAAACTGGATCTAAACTGGATCTAAACTGGATCTAAACTGGATCTAAACTGGATCTAAACTGGGTCTAAACAGAGTCTAACTGGGTCTGAACAGAGTCTAACTGGGTCTGAACAGAGTCTAACTGGGTCTGAACAGAGTCTAACTGGGTCTAACTGACAGAGCAGACTCTAACTGGGTCTAACAGAGTCAACTGACTAACTCTAACTGAGAGAGTCTAACAGAGTCTAACTGGGTCTAAACATCTAACAAACAGAGTCTAACTGGGTCTAAACAGAGTCTAACTGGGTCTAAACAGAGTCTAACTGGGTCTAAACTCTAAAA